ACATTAAAATTATAAAGAAAACTGCAGATTTTTCGTGTTTTAAAAACTCTGTAAAACTGTCCTGAAATTTTGAATGACTTCTTCTTCAAACTAGGAATACTTAAAAATCTTGTTTTAGCTGAAAAAAGATGCATGAGAGAGGCTCACAAAAAACTTTGATTAACGAACAGGCGTAAGATTATTACGATATCTAAAATAGAAAAACTCACTTCCTTATTAATATATAATTCTTTTCCGCCAACTTTTAAAACATAATCACTGTTTTCTGATTTCTCGAGAAAGTTTAAAGCTAGATAAGGCCTAAAATACATAATATTTATTACAGAATATCATTCTGTCGGCTCAACAAAATTAAAGCTTCTTAAATTCAAATACTGCTCCAAAATGACCGTTAACAAAATTTAAGCAAAGCTGTATAACACTGGCTTTGAAACCTTGCTCAGATAAATATTTATGAGCTGACAGAAGCCATGACAAACTCAGAGAGGATAGAAATAAACCTAACCGCACACCCTTAACCTCCTCGACAGTAATGCAAGTTTCAATAGTGACTTCATCACGACAAATATATCCGTTATCTGGATTTTTAATATAATCCCGTTCAATAAACTTCAAAAATTCACATTCATTTTGTTTTGCTCCAAATGTTGTTGATTTCTGAAATTACTAGAACTATCCATGTCAAAAAATGTCAATGGAATAAGTAAACTGACTGACACTGTTAGCCTGAAGCACCTGCTCAATAATTTAAAACAAGCAACAAAGAGGGAGACAAATACTGAATGTCTGTACTTTCACACCTCAATGACAAAATCTTTAATTCCTCTTTTTTGTGAAATTAACCGAAGCGTAATTTTCGCTTTACACTCCCACAAATTCGATACATATCCATCATTACAGGAGACGTAAACACTGAGGTACTTGGGGTCTTTCTCATCACCTTCTCTTTCTGGTATTGCTACCGATTTCCTGTGTGAAAAAATAATAAATTAGAACTTGAAAACAACATAAAAATAATAAATAAATTTAAAAAACGCGATAAGTGCTTCAAAAAGAGACCAATGAAATCCATAGATTTCGCATACTGGTGAAGCAACTTCCGTATACTGCGAATCGAATCCAAGAATCTTCAGCTTAATAGCACCGGTTTTACTGCAAGTAGGCGACAATCTGAAAACTTATTTTAGGATAACTGTTTTATATTTATTTAGAGATTCTTTTAATTGGTCAGCAGCCTTACTTTGGCAACAACTGTCATTTTGGTCCTACGAGTTAAAAAAACAAACTAAATTTTTTGTCAGAAAAGGTAACTGTCATGAAAGTCTA